GAGGTTCTGAGTTCAAGCCCCACTCACAAAGACTGCCCCTCTGGGTCCCTGAGCAAGACCCTTACACTGCACCCCGGATGCCGCACAATGGCAGCCCACTGCTCCCCAAGTGGATTGGTTAATTTCGGAGACTTAATTTCTTTGGCCTTTACTTGTGATGTGTAATGACAAAAACAATGAAAAGGGGAAAAAAATTATTATTGCTCCTTGAAAATGTCGATATTTGTTCATCTTACAACCTCAAACTTTAATACATTTTATATTTTAATAGACCAACACAAGGTAGGGAGCTAAATTTACCCATTTGGTTTTTGTGACAAATTTGGTTCAGTTTGTTCACCACTTGTCCCTTATTCTTTTTTCAGATTTGTATGCTTAAATTTAAACATTAGTTTGCAACTTTGCTTCACAAACTATCCCGGGTTTGTTTGTGTTAGCATTATGTTGCAGTTTTCATCTATATGTTTAGGATGAAGGTATTACTTCTGGATTATTGGTTGAAAATTTGTATTTTGTTTCAAAGAATATTAATGGTATTTGTTTTCCGTTTTACTCACCATTGTTTGTCCAATATTTCCTGCTAGATTGGCTAGATGATGTCATCAATTACCTTGCTGGATTCTACCACTCATAGTAATGGTTTGTTTGTTTGTCTTTATAGTAACTCCTTGAGTTATGTTGTATCACATTGTTTGTTTCGCAGACTAATTCATTATGTAGATGAGTTAGTAAATTAGATTAATAACTTTATTCTTGTTTCTCTGTTTCGACTTTGTTTTTTTCTCCCTGTTTAAATGTGGCCTGGTCCACTCAAGTGCAAATGTGTTGCCAATTGGTTATACAAGCACTGAGCTCTTGGAAGCTCAGGAAATGGTTGTTAGAGTGAAAAGTGCCGATTAAAAGACAACAGAGACATCTGGAACCGATGACTGAAGCTGTTTTTTTGTTAATCTTGCTGATCCTCAACCAAACTAATTCACAGTTCTGATACCATCAATTAAAATCAAAAGCAACCATTTGTATTTAGCCATTAATCTCCATATAAATCCAGCTGTTCTGTGAAGCCTTTAGAGCTGCATATGAGGACGTTAGTGAAGAAACAGCGTTGTGAGAATAAGGAACATTATTTAGGTACGAAGTTCAAAGTTGAGTCAAGTTGTCTAAAATCTCCTGCTTTGAAATCCATTTCTTCATCCGATTATATAAAGACTACGGCACAGTTGCAAACCAACAACCCAACAGTAAATCTAAAGCATAGACTGCAGAGATTAACAGCTGGTGTTGAAGAACTCATAAATGAAGGCAATTGTTCAAAGAAATCAATAGAGAGTCGCCGGTTTGAAACCAGAAATAGCAGCAACACACAAAACATCCTAAACATGGTGTGGTGTTTCTTTATACAGGGTTCCTACAGCATAAGGAAGTTAAATTCAAGACTTTTTAAGACTTTTTAATGCCACTTGAAATAAAAATGTAAGACCAAATTCACAAGAAACACAAGAAAAACCTGCTTG